GACTTAATATCACAATGACTTAATAACACAATGACTGAACAACACAATGACTGAACAACACAATGACTGAATAACACAATGACTGAACAACACAATGACTTAATAACACAATGACTGAATAACACAATGACTGAATAACACAATGACTTAATAACACAATGACTGAATAACACAATGACTGAACAACACAGTGACTGAACAACACAATGACTGAACAACACAATCTTGACGAAAGTCAAGACTGATGGACTAAATACATCGATTCCAGGTTGAGGGACTGATTACCCCAAACTCCTCCTCATCTTCCACCTTCTGCATTGGACTGAAAAAGCCACTGTGTGGCGAAACGTTTCCAGAATAAAGATACCCAAATATTGCACAAGAGTCTCATTTACCAATTTGTCGGTTTTGTAAACCATTTATTGGCTACCCGGGTTATTACTGCTCTCCGCTTCTGGTTAGCAGTCTAACCCCGAGACAGTCTCGGAAACTGTTACCTGTTATTATTTCCATTAGTTGCTTCTTGTGTGGTACTCTAGCGGTCGCTTTCTTGAAGTCGAAATATATTTCATCTATGAGGACTTTATTGTCTATTTTTTGCATACGTATCTAAAGAATTCTAGTAATTTTGTAAACTGGATCTTGTGATGCTAAAACCATGCTGAGTATCGCTTAATATGTTATTCTGCTTTAGCTATGTTAAGACAGAGGGAGAAACAGAGATGGACAGAGAGTGAAACGAGGCTAAATGGCAAGTGCACACACTATCATTACATCGGCTACAAAATTGATGCTAACCTTTATCACCCGGGGAAGGGAAGTAGCCTCGACAGTAACATTCTATTGAGAACCCAAGATTTAAGTGTGTATGACACACCCTTTACTAAAGTCTTCATTTAATTCTCAGAAGAGCTTATAAAAATAATTTTCCCGAGATTCTTCAGCGGCTTAAGATCTTCTTCGGTCTGATTACAGGACTTGGCTATAACAGGTACTCCTACGACGACTACAACAGCGACGGCACCTACTACTACGACAATAATGACGGAGAGGAAGACGTACCCATCTTTCTGGCTCGCTCTCAGACATTCACTGTGGAGGTGGGACAGTCTGTCATCATCCCCTGTGACGTTGAAAACGCTGGTGAGTGGCTGTTTGGGATGGTTACCTTCCAGAGGGTATCTTCATACTGGTGAAGTATGATATACGGAATTGGAGGCATTCTTCCTTTCCTTTGATCACACCCGACTACTTCCCACTTCCCTGGTAACGTGAGAGACCTATGGGTTATATAACACCAGCCTCTGCATTGTTTCTACCTACCGTCCTAAGTTGCTTACAGTTTTTCATTTCTCTTTCACACGTGTCTTTCCTGATAGTTCCTATTTCTGTATTCATTAGATATGAGTGTGCCCTGTGTGGCCTTCCCTCTCGGCAAACTTTAATTTCTTGCAGTGATGACTAAGGCACCAACAAGGATGCATGTGTTTCCTCACATTTCGTGATCAATGATTGCAAAGATTTGCTTTCTGATTTTACACTTCAAAATTATTTTTAAATATATTAATCCTATATTCCTTTATAAACTGATTGAAATTCCTGTGAATCTATTAACACAAAATATCCCTAAATGCTACCAGCGACAATAAATAATTAACAAATTTATTTACCTAGATGATATATAAGTACAGTGTAAGAGAGTACATGATTTAAGGATACATATATGATAACGCCCATGTCTATGTATACTTACCTCTACTGCTAGTTTGTTACAGTGAAGGCTAACAAGCTTTCTTACGGAGACGAACCATTGCAGGTAACAACAAGCTCATTATCAAGAAAATTTCCCCCAACACTGGGAAGGAGAAGTTGATGTGGGTTGGGAGTGAGAGAGTGACTAGGGACCGACGCATTACTGTGGACGGCTACCGTCTAACTCTCTCTGGCGTGCGACCCCGAGACGCTGGCACCTTCCTCTGTATGTTCGAGATGGAGCCGCCCATCCAGCTGAGACACTCTCTGGACGTGCAGTTTGCGCCCACCATCAGATCTCTGGCGCCGCCTGAGCAGCACGTCACCAAGGGTACCTCCCTAACCCTGGAGTGTCAGGCTGAGGGCAACCCTAAGCCCATCATTCACTGGTCTCGTCAGGAAGGTCCTCTTCCCTCTGGCCAGAGCACACAACTGGTATGTCTATCGTGTCCACCTGAAGAGTTTGTTCGTGATGAGATGATGAGGGAAGAACTTAGCTCCTGGACCCTCCTGTTAATATTCAGTTGACTGATATAGTTAGTTCAAAGCTTATGTGTAGTGTAATAACCTATTTGTACACAAAGAAGCAAAGGTATGCTCTTGGTGTCCCGTCTTCAGTAATTCCTTCATATTTTTTTAAGTAAGTGTGTGTGTGTGTGTGTGTGTGTGTGTGTGTGTGTGTGTGTGTGTGTGTGTGTGTGTGTGTGTTTACTCATCTATTTGAACTCACCCATTTGTAGTTGCAGGGGTCAATTCACAGCTCCTGACCCCCATCTCTTCGCTGGTCGCTACTAAGTCCACTCCCTGTCTCATGAGTTTTATCGTACCTCTTCTTAAAGCTATGTATAGGTCCTATCTCCACTACATCACTCTCCAAATTGTTCCACTTCCTGACAACTCTATAGCTGAAGAAATACTTCCTAACATCCATGTGACTCATCTGAGTTGTCAACTTCCAGTTGTGTCCCCTTGTTGCTGTGTCCCATCTCTGAAACATTCTGTCCCTATCCACCTTGGCAATTCCTCTCAGTATTTTATATATCGTTATCATGTCCTATCTTTCCTGTCTTTCTGTGTCGTCAGGTTGATTTCCCTTAACTTCTCTTCGTAGGACAAATTCCTTAGCTCCGGGACTAATCTTGTTGCAAACTTTTGCGCTTTCCCTAATTTCTTAACGTGCTTGACCCGGTGTGGGTTCCATACTGGTGCTGCATGCTCCAATATGGGTCTGATATACACAGTGTACAGAGGCTTCAGTGATTCCTTACTCAAGTGTCGAAATGCTATTCTTAGGTTTACCAGGCGCCCACATGCTGCAGCAGTTATTTGGTTGACGTGGGCCTCAGATGTGCTCGGTATTATAATCACCCCAAGATTATTTTCCTTGAGTGAGGTTTGCAGTCTTTGCCCCCCCCCCCCAGCCTGTACTCTGTGGTATTCTTGCACATTCCCCAGTCTTCATGACTTTGCATATGGTGGGGCTAAACTCCAGGAGCCAGGTGTTGGACCAGGCTTGCAGCCTGTCCAGATCCCTTTGTAGTCCCACCTGATCCTCATCCACTTGAGTTCTCCACATTAGCTTTACATAGTCTGCAAACAGGGATACCTCTGAACCTATCCTTCTGTCATGTCATTCACATATACCAGAAACAGCACCGGCCCTAAGACTGACCCTTTTGGCTCTCCGCTAGTTACAGGCGCCCACTCTGACACCCCGTCACGTACCATCACTCGTTGTTACCTCCTGTCAAGTAGTTTTTCATCCACTGTAGTGCCTTTCCTGTTATTCCTGCCTGCTCTTCTAGTTTTTGCACTAACCTCTTGTGTGGAGTTGTGTCGAAAGCCTTGTAGTCCAAAAAAATGCAGTCTATCCACCACCCCCCTCTCTCTCGTCGATGTTACTTCTGTCAGCCTGTCGTAAAACTCCAGTACTTGTTGGTATACCCTTCCGTCCTGGTTTACTGGAGTCCTTTCTGTCTCCACTGAAAACACGTCCTTGAATCTCGTGTTCAGGCCTTCCCATACTTCTCTGTCGTTTCTTGTGATCTCCCCTCCTTCCTTCCTCAGTCTGATTACCTGATCCTTGACTGCTGTTTTCCGCCTGATGTGGCTGTACAACAGCTTTGGGTTAGATTTAGCTTTCGATGCTGTATCATTCTCGTATTGCCGCTGGGCCTCCCTTATCCATACGTATTCATTTCTAGTTCTTTAGCTAATCTCTTTATTTTCCTGGGTCCTTTGTCTTCTATACTTGTTCTATTCTCTAGTGCACTTAGTTTTGGCCTCTCTACACTTTGGGTGAACCAAGGACTCATTTTGGTCTTCCCATTGTTTCTGCCGCCCTTGGGCATGAACCTCTCCTCTGCCTCCTTGCATTTTGTGGTCACGTATTCCATTTACTGTTTTTCTCACCCGTTCTCTTTCCAACTATGCCTCAAGCAGGAAATTTTTCATGCCTGTGTAGTCCCCTCTTGTAGTATGGCTTCTTCTATCCTACTTTGTACTGCTGCTTCACTCTCCACTTTTAACTCTACAGTGTATTCGAAGCTCAGGACCATGTGATCACTAGCTACAAGGGACCTTTCATACGCGATGTCCTCGATGTCAGAGCTACTCAAGGTGAATATGAGGTCCAGCCTTGCTTTTTCATCCTCTCCTCTCTCTTTTTCTCTGATAGTGTCCTTGACATGTTGATGCATAAGGTTTTCCAGAACCACCTCCATCATCTTAGCTCTCCACATTTCTGGACCCACATGTGGCTCTAGGTTTTCCCAGTCAATCTCCTAGTGACTGAAATCACCCACAACTGGTAACTTTGCTCTTCCAGCAACCTCAGCTAGTGTGTCCATCATTGCCCTGTTGCTCTCATCATATTCTTCTCTTGGCCTCCTGCTATTCTGTGGTACGTTGAACATAACTGCAATCACCATCTTGAGACCCCCAGTCTGAAGTGTTCCTACTATATAGTTCCTTGCTTCCACTGGTTTTTGATGAGCAGTGCAACTCTTCCTCCCCTTCTGCTCCATCTTTCTCAAGATCGAATATCCAGATGGAAAGATTGCATCTGTTATCATCCCTGTGAGCTTTGTTTCCCTGAGTGCTATAATGTCTAGGGATGCCTGCATGATTCTTTCGTGCCACTCTTCACATTTATTTGTTATTGTCTGCATTGGTGTACCATACCTTCAGCTTCTTTTCCAATACTGTGGTCTGGGGGGGATATGTGCTGGGGTTGGGGGAGTGGTATACCTGGCAGGACACTATGGGGGGCTACCGTGAAGGTGGAGTTTGTGGTGGGGGTGGGGGGCTGTGGGTACAGAGTCTGGGTTGTTTTGGGTTAATTTGCTTGATTACAATGGGGTTATCAGGGTTGAGGGTCTTCTTTGGGTGGTTCTGAGGTAGGTTATGTTTGCTCTTCCTGAGTCTGGGTTCCCCTGCCTATCTCCATCCTTGACTCTCTTTCTTGCTCCTTGCATCTCTGTATCTTCTCTCTCAGTTTCTGTCTTCTCATGTTCTGTCACAGTCGAGGTACATCTGCTAGTAATTTGATGAGCTCCTTAGTCTTGCTTTCTTCTGCAGGATCCTGTTTCTGTTTTGCACCATTTGACATGAAAATCAATTTGACTGGACGGTTTCTTCCTCTTGAGAACCCCATATTCTCAGAAATTTGTCAGCAGGTCATGTCTTCCTCTCCTACCTCTTTCATGATATTTCCAATTCCTTTTTTCTCCCCCTGTCGTTTTTATTCGTACGTTTCGCCTTCTGCCTAAGGAAGCCCATGAACCAAGACTTACCTCTCCTTTTCATCCTCCTATTGCATTTCCCCTCGTATATCATGATCCAATTTAAGTATCTCCATTGCTGAGTTCCTTAACATTTCCTGGATCTTTCGATGGTCTGATAACGCCTCTGCAGGGGACCTGTCTTGTGTGTGTGTGTGTGTGTGTGTGTGTGTGTGTGTGTGTGTGTGTGTGTGTGTGTGTGTGTGTGTGTGTGTGTGTGTGTGTGTGTCTGTGTGTACTATATCGTGACTAAAAGTTTATTATGAGATATAACAGCAGTGATTCCTTTCATTGTGTTTGCCCTCCTACTGGTGTGTTTATATCACCGTGCCCTGATCTGCCTCCTGCAGGGCCGTAACCTCACACTGGAGGGCGTCGACCGCCTCGTGGAAGGCACATACCTCTGCACTGCTGACAACGGTATCGGCGAGGCAGCTTCAGCTGCCATGACCATTGCTGTGGAGTACCCACCAGAGGTCACCACCGAGAAGGTCAGTCACAGGTCACCACAGAAGTCAGTAATCATCACAAAGAAGGTCAGTTACTAACATTACGTGATGGTAGTAACTGGCGTGGGTTACCCTTTCCCCTCCCCGGATGCTAAAGTTTAATGTAAATTTTGCAGTTGATGTAATGATAGTGTGTACACCTGTTATTGAGCCTTGTTTCACCGTCTGTCGGTCTCAGTTTCTCTCTCGCTCTCCCTCCTAAAATTTCCAGAGAATAACATATTAAGCAATACTTGGGATGTTTTTTTTGGTCTAAGGGCCGAAACGTTTTTATTAAAGGTGTCCCCAGTAAATGTCTTCGTGACCATTTTTCTCAGGTTGTCGGTAGACATTTGCTTTTTAATACAATTTATTGTTAGTTGGTTAATGGGGTTTAAAGCCTGTCGACTACACGAGGGTCATTAAGGCTACAGGTAACCTCTCCACCACTCGACATAACTTTAATCTCTAAAATAGGGATTACAGTAACCTCAGACTATTTACAGTGAAATGATACAAGGGTATATACATCTCACGGTGTATATACCCTTGACTTAATAATTTCTGGTGTACTCGAAAGGGAATCGTGCGAAGTGGAGAAGGCGACCGGGTAGAGCTGGTGTGTGTGGTGAGGGGTCGCCCTACCCCGGAGGTGTCTTGGACGCGCGATGGACACCCTCTTCAGGAAGCACAAGTGGACACCAAGCTACCCTACCTGGGGCGTCGAAATGACACCGCCCACTTGAGCTTCATACACGCCGCCCACCTGAGCCTCGCCCACGCCGCCCATCGACACATCCTTACTTTCGCTAACGTCTCCGAGAAGGACTTCGGAGCTTACGTCTGCATCGCCAGGAACACGCACGGGCAAAGAGATGCCGTAATACAAATGACAGGTGTGTGTAACTTATGCTGGTGACAGGTGTGTGTTACTTATGCTGGTGACAGGTGTGTGTAACTTATGCTGGTGACAGGTGTGTGTAACTTATGCTGGTGACAGGTGTGTGTTTACATGCATATGCACCTCTCTCTGTGTAGAAAAGCTTCCAGTTTCTAACGACATTTATTGAAGTAATGGAATCCAGTCAACTTTTCAGTAAAAAAAATAAACAATCACCGTCATCAAGATTTGTTTTTTTGGAACATCATATAACATGATAAGAATTTTAATATCAAAGTTGCATTTAAAAATCTTGACACAGTTAAAAAACTTTTGATAAAAAATTCCCTCCAAAATGATGACGGGTGTGTCTATAAGATTCCTTGTCAAATATGTGATAAAATTTATTACCACCATCACGATGCTGTGAACACTAACTCCAAGACCGAGGGACTGATTACCTCATCTTTTGTATATAGTTCTACTGTCTTCCTATTATGTCCTAGAATCTGTGTTGATAAAGCCACTGGATAGCGAAACGTCTACAATAAAGATATCCAAATGTTACACATGTGTCTTAACTTACAAATTTATTACGGTCAAACTGGCAAGTCTTGAACTTCGGTTAGATAAGATAAGATAAGATAACTATAATCATAACTATAACATTAGAAGTGGACAAGATTCTAATGCTCTGTTTATTCATGTGAGAGATTTTAACCATCCAATTGATTTTTAAAAGGTTGAGAAAGTTGTATCAAGCAAGTCCATGGTCGACACGAATATAAAAGAATCTTGTTTCATAAAAAGCAGTTTTGAAAATAATATGAATATTTCTTTTGGTTCATATAAATTGCATTCATATGTAATTAATAAAATCTGGGAAGAATTTAAGGTACATTAGACAAATCTTTGGATAGAATATAAACTGTGTTTCACGGATCACTGACTACCTATCTACATCACAGAAAGTCAGGTGTTGTGAGGTGGCAGCGAAGTGTAGTCTCGTTCTTATATGCCATCCTGTTAACCTTTTATTTTTATAGTTCCTTGATAATGTGAGAAATCACGAAAGTGCTTGGAATTTCACTATTTTCCACAGTGGTTGTTCTGCATATAAATATATATCAGTGGCAAAGTACTGTGGACTCTGATACAGAGTTACCAGGTTCGAGTCCTGCTGTGAACGTAGAGACAATGTTTTTAAATAATTTCGCCTGTTTGCGAACTGTTAAGCATTTATATATATATATATATATATATATATATATATATTGATGATGGCTTAAGATCTTACAGTCCAATAATCACAGTGTTTACAACCAATAACTAACATTTTGATATAAATTTACTGCACTAATACTGCCGTAGCAAGAATAGTAAACTTTACGATAAGTATTTTCGTATATGATCTACGTGATCGGGTCCGCACTAACTATCCGCAGTAGTTAACACTGGTAAACTTTCATGGCGCCTACATTGTTAATTTGCGTGCCCCGGCAGGCAGCGGGAAAAGAATTATGTCCCACTGTATTCACCTAACTACGCTATGTTGCAGGGACAACAGTTGTTCGCATGAAATATTATTCTCTTGGCTTTGCTATACTATATATTAAATGAGATGTTTCGTCACAATATTTTTTCCATTGTTAATCCGCCGATATTTTCCTTCCATATTTCGCATCTTATTAATTCACTCTAGATGCTATGGTTCCTTTATTTTATATATATTTTTTTTCCTTTGGATTTGGATGCTGATGTCCTCTCCACTAAATCAGTGTGTAGTGTGCCATCCAAATGGAGTGTCCTTGTAAAAGTAACTTCAATCCTGCTGAAAGAGAAGTTTTAAATCTCTCAGTCAGTGAACTCATGGAAGAATCCTTGACGCTAACCGTATCGCCTTACTGAGTCTTCCAGGTCAAGCTGGCAGATTTCACTTCCTTAACACCCTTCCTGTGTTATGAAGTATGTGACAGTAACTATCCTGTGTGATGATGTATAGGTAACTATCCTGTGTGATGATGTATAAGTAACTATCCTGTGTGATGATGTATAGGTAACTATCCTGTGTGATGATGTATAAGTAACTATCCTGTGTGATGATGTATAGGTAACTATCCTGTGTGATGATGTATAAGTAACTATCCTGTGTGATGATGTATAGGTAACTATCCTGTGTGATGTATAAGACAGTAACTATCCTGTGTGATGCATAAGACAGTAACTATCTTGTGTGATGATGTATAAGTAACTATCCTGTGTGATGTATAAGACAGTAACTATCCTGTGTGATGATGTATAAGTAACTATCCTGTGTGATGTATAAGACAGTAACTATCCTGTGTGATGATGTATAAGTAACTATCCTGTGTGATGTATAAGACAGTAACTATCCTGTGTGATGATGTATAAGTAACTATCCTGTGTGATGATGTATAAGTAACTATCCTGTGTGATGATGTATAAGTAACTATCCTGTGTGATGTATAAGACAGTAACTATCCTGTGTGATGATGTATAAGTAACTATCTTGTGTGATGATATACAACTATCCTGTGTGATGCATAAGGTAGTAGCTATCCTGTGTGATGTATAAGACAGTAACTATCCTGTGTGATGTATAAGACAGTAACTATCCTGTGTGATGTATAAGACAGTAACTATCCTGTGTGATGTATAAGACAGTAACTATCCTGTGTGATGATGTATAAGTAACTATCCTGTGTGATGATGTATAAGTAACTATCCTGTGTGATGTATAAGACAGTAACTATCCTGTGTGATGATGTATAAGTAACTATCCTGTGTGATGTATAAGACAGTAACTATCCTGTGTGATGATGTATAAGTAACTATCCTGTGTGATGATGTATAAGTAACTATCCTGTGTGATGTATAAGACAGTAACTATCCTGTGTGATGATGTGTAAGTAACTATCTTGTGTGATGTATAAGACAGCAACTATCATGTGTGATGATGTATAAGTAACTATCCTGTGTGATGATATACAACTAACTATCCTGTGTGATGCATAAGATCATAGCTATCCTGTGTGATGTATAAGACAGTAACTATCCTGTGTGATGTATAAGACAGTAACTATCCTGTGTAATGTATAAGACAGTAACTATCCTGTGTGATGCATAAGACAGTAACTATCCTGTGTGATGTATAAGACAGTAACTATCCTGTGTGATGTATAAGACAGTAACTATCCTGTGTGATGTATAAGACAGTAACTATCCTGTGTGATGTATAAGACAGTAACTATCCTGTGTGATGTATAAGACAGTAACTATCCTGTGTGATGCATAAGACAGTAACTATCCTGTGTGATGTATAAGACAGTAACTATCCTGTGTGATGTATAAGACAGTAACTATCCTGTGTGATGTATAAGACAGTAACTATCCTGTGTGATGTATAAGACAGTAACTATCCTGTGTGAAGTATATGAGAATAACTATCCAGTGTGATGGAGTATAAGAGAATAACTATCCTGTGTTGGGTATGATCGGTAAATATAGTTAAGTTCATTCTTTCACCCTGTAAAGTGTGATGTATGTATTTTTATTATTTATAAAATGCGTTAAATCAGTGTTCAATCAACGGAAGGACTGGTAGAGGCTCGATTCTCCGTCCACTAATCTCTCGGGACACGCTACTCTTACAAGCAATCTTCCCGCAAAATATGATATAGAATCCATCATGGCAGCCACATAATGAGTTGTGCCAAATTTATATCAATAATTTTATTAGCGCTAAGAATTCGTAGTCGAAGCATGGTATCCATCAGTGATGTGATCCTTCAATTAATTTCTCACTTCTTTTTCAGACGCTCTTTCTTGCCCGCGAAGCATAAAAGATAAAAGATTCGGCTTAAAAAAATCCCAGGAAAATTAATAATATATTTCTTGTAAATATTATCTAATATAATAATCCCGAGCAACGTGTTGGTAAACATCGAGATTGTAATAAATTTCCGTGCAACATATTGGTTAACAACGGGACTGTAATAACCCCTGTACAACATACTGATCAACAACGGGACTGTAATAACCCCCGTACAACATACTGATCAACAACGGGACTGTAATAACCCCTGTACAACAGACTGATCAACAACGGGACTGTAATAACCCCTGTACAACATACTGATCAACAACGGGACTGTAATAACCCCTGTACAACAGACTGATCAACAACGGGACTGTAATAACCCCTGTACAACATACTGATCAACAACGGGACTGTAATAACCCCTGTACAACATACTGATCAACAACGGGACTGTAATAACCCCTGTACAACATACTGATCAACAACGGGACTGTAATAACCCCTGTACAACATACTGATCAACAACGGGACTGTAATAACCCCCGTGCAACATACTGATCAACAACGGGACTAATAACGCCTGTACAACATACTGATCAACAACGGGACTGTAATAACCCCCGTGCAACATACTGATCAACAACGGGACTGTAATAACCCCCGTGCAACATACTGATCAACAACGGGACTGTAATAACCCCCGTGCAACATACTGATCAACAACGGGACTGTAATAACCCCCGTGCAACATACTGATCAACAACGGGACTGTAATAACCCCCGTGCAACATACTGATCAACAACGGGACTGTAATAACCCCCGTGCAACATACTGATCAACAACGGGACTGTAATAACCCCCGTGCAACATACTGATCAACAACGGGACTGTAATAACCCCCGTGCAACATACTGATCAACAACGGGACTGTAATAACGCCTGTACAACATACTGATCAACAACGGGACTGTAATAACGCCTGTACAACATACTGATCAACAACGGGACTGTAATAACCCCTGTACAACATACTGATCAACAACGGGACTGTAATAACCCCTGTACAACATACTGATCAACAACGGGACTGTAATAACCCCCGTGCAACATACTGATCAACAACGGGACTGTAATAACGCCTGTACAACATACTGATCAACAACGGGACTGTAATAACGCCTGTACAACATACTGATCAACAACGGGACTGTAATAACCCCTGTACAACATACTGATCAACAACGGGACTGTAATAACCCCTGTACAACATACTGATCAACAACGGGACTGTAATAACCCCTGTACAACATACTGATCAACAACGGGACTGTAATAACCCCTGTACAACATACTGATCAACAACGGGACTGTAATAACCCCTGTACAACATACTGATCAACAACGGGACTGTAATAACCCCTGTACAACATACTGATCAACAACGGGACTGTAATAACCCCTGTACAACATACTGATCAACAACGGGACTGTAATAACCCCTGTACAACATACTGATCAACAACGGGACTGTAATAACCCCCGTGCAACATACTGATCAACAACGGGACTGTAATAACCCCCGTGCAACATACTGATCAACAACGGGACTGTAATAACCCCCGTGCAACATACTGATCAACAACGGGACTGTAATAACCCCCGTGCAACATACTGATCAACAACGGGACTGTAATAACCCCCGTGCAACATACTGATCAACAACGGGACTGTAATAACCCCCGTGCAACATACTGATCAACAACGGGACTGTAATAACCCCCGTGCAACATACTGATCAACAACGGGACTGTAATAACCCCCGTGCAACATACTGATCAACAACGGGACTGTAATAACCCCCGTGCAACATACTGATCAACAACGGGACTGTAATAACCCCCGTGCAACATACTGATCAACAACGGGACTGTAATAACCCCCGTGCAACATACTGATCAACAACGGGACTGTAATAACCCCCGTGCAACATACTGATCAACAACGGGACTGTAATAACCCCCGTGCAACATACTGATCAACAACGGGACTGTAATAACCCCCGTGCAACATACTGATCAACAACGGGACTGTAATAACCCCCGTGCAACATACTGATCAACAACGGGACTGTAATAACCCCGTGCAACATACTGATCAACAACGGGACTGTAATAACCCCCGTGCAACATACTGATCAACAACGGGACTGTAATAACCCCCGTGCAACATACTGATCAACAACGGGACTGTAATAACCCCCGTGCAACATACTGATCAACAACGGGACTGTAATAACCCCCGTGCAACATACTGATCAACAACGGGACTGTAATAACCCCCGTGCAACATACTGATCAACAACGGGACTGTAATAACCCCCGTGCAACATACTGATCAACAACGGGACTGTAATAACCCCCGTACAACATACTGATCAACAACGGGACTGTAATAACCCCCGTACAACATACTGATCAACAACGGGACTGTAATAACCCCCGTGCAACATACTGATCAACAACGGGACTGTAATAACCCCCGTGCAACATACTGATCAACAACGGGACTGTAATAACCCCGTGCAACATACTGATCAACAACGGGACTGTAATAACCCCCGTGCAACATACTGATCAACAACGGGACTGTAATAACCCGCGTGCAACATACTGATCAACAACGGGACTGTAATAACCCCCGTACAACATACTGATCAACAACGGGACTGTAATAACCCCCGTACAACATACTGATCAACAACGGGACTGTAATAACCCCCGTGCAACATACTGATCAACAACGGGACTGTAATAACCCCCGTGCAACATACTGATCAACAACGGGACTGTAATAACGCCTGTACAACATACTGATCAACAACGGGACTGTAATAACCCCCGTGCAACATACTAATCAACAACAGGACTGTAATAACCCCCGTACAACATACTGATCAACAACAGGACTGTAATAACCCCCGTGCAACATACTGATCAACAACGGGACTGTAATAACCCCCGTGCAACATACTGATCAACAACGGGACTGTAATAACGCCTGTACAACATACTGATCAACAACGGGACTGTAATAACCCCCGTGCAACATACTAATCAACAACAGGACTGTAATAACCCCCGTACAACATACTGATCAACAACAGGACTGTAATAACCCCCGTACAATATATTTACTCATTGGTAAACAACAGAAACACTAGCTTTTTTTGTTGCATTAAAGATGTACAATATAACTGTGTCATATATTCTACGAGATTAGCCCATCAAAATATATTTCTGCCAGTTAAAAATGAACATTAAATACGATATATACATTTAGGCTTCACTGTTAAAGTAAGGACTAAACAAATACGTTTTAATGCCAGATAAAATCTTGCATGTAACTTATGGATGAATAATACTGGAAATATTATATTTTATATATTACGAGGAAACTATTTTCCTCGACATGTATATATTCAGAAGAGCAATGTGTATGGGTTGATTTATTATGTTCGAAAGCTTGTCGACTACAATAGCACTTTTGCAATCCTTTGTTCAAAAACAGGTCCATGTTCAGAGATTTTGTTCACTCGATGGCCTAGTAGGTAAAATGTTCTAGTTTTAGGCATATGACTGGTTCAGTCACCAGAACTTTATACATAATTTTAAACACGAGGATCATAAGGATAAGGCAGCATGTATCTTCACCACTTGTTAAGGATGACTGTAAACTTTCTGCACACACACACACACACACACACACACACACACACACACACACACACACACACACACACACACACACGCACACACAAGGATACGGAGGCGTGCTGCCCCCGTACCCACGTTAACCTTTACTTCTTCCCCATTCGCTGCCACTGTCACTCTCCCTCTAGGCTGCCCAAGGCAGTCTTTCCCCGGGCTTCCCAATTATTATTATAATCAAAGGGGAAGCACTAAACCCGTAGGATTACCGGGCTTCCCAAATCACTCGTAAACCCAATGCTCAAGCCACCCTCTTTCTACCACCGCCAACTGTGCTGCCTAAACCACTCCTCTTGCTTCTTTCACAGGGCTTTCCAAGCCACCCCTCACTCTGCCTCTTCCACAGGGTTGCCCAAACCACCGCAGGTGACCAGCAGCGCCAATGGTGGGGAGAGTACCAGCTACACACTCACCTGGGAGACAGAGAGCTACTATCCCATCACAGAGTTCCTCGTCAAGTACCATAAGTCTCACCTTGGGGACTGGCAGGTGTGTCGCAGTGTTGTGTGGTGGACCTAGTGGCGGGCGTGTTAGTTGTGAAATTTCGTCTCAAAAAAAATCACGTAGCATTTAGCAATGATAGATATTACCTGTTCTTACTAAGTAAATTATTGTACATGTCATTTCTCGAGGAACTTACAGATACAGGTTCTAGGACACTAATAAAGAATGCATAGATTATGGGAAACTCAGCTGATTATGCCGGACCACACAAACCATTTTATTTCCCTGAAAAGACCGACTGTGGGATTTTATTAACCTTCCACAGACACAAAATTAGGACATGCACAAAAACGTTCTACTTACTTTATAAAGCTGTATGAGACAGTATTAATTTGTCTGTCTTGTCGGAGTCAACAAATGTTATGGAGATATTTATCATATTCATTAGTTCACCCAACTAACTACAATCAACAATATGCTTCATGCCAGATTTCATCAGCTCCCAGTTTTGCTATATTTCAGTATTCCCTTACTGATATTTTAATAACTTAAAATACTGACAATAAAAAATAATATTGTCATTTTAATTCACAGTATTTCGGGATTACGCACCGGGGCCGCACCTGTATCCGAACGTTTTTTTTGTTTATATATATATATATATATATATATATATATATATATATATATTATATATATATATATATATATATATATATATATATATATATCGTTGACTGTTTAGTTATTGCCCAACCCCCCCCGTGGCTCGGAGAAAGGAACACGTCGCTCGTAGAATATGAACGCAAACGAGTGGGTCAGGGCCAGAGCCAATAAGGACTGGAACTGTTGAATGTCGAACCCCACTTGGGCTGGATCATAGCGGAGTCTGATAAGAGCAGAATAAGACCTTGGACAATGAGGTACAATGAATTTATTGTATTATCAAGTATAGGGCACCAAGAGCAGGTTGAGCTGTCCACCAGTGTAACCTGAGGATGCGCCGCCATTCGGGAATATGTAATACTTAGACGCACTATGCAGCGTCCAGAAACGGTATTCAGCAAGAGCCCAATATAGGGTTCATTAGAATCTCGAACGAGTCGCAGCTAAATTGATTTGAGGACTGGTATCGTGTCTGAGTGGAGCTAATTAGTTTATATCCAACAGCAGATTTTCCAGCCCCGGCTGGGAATGATCAATGTTTGCAACTGAATCCATAGTCTCATTTCCTTGAATACCAACATGACAAAGGAATCAACGTAGAATAACAAGCCAGCCCGGCGTCGAAAAGAAAAATAGCAAGATTCAAAGTAGTTTGTCCTCAACCAGGGTACACTGGTATACTAACCGTTTAGTGGATGAAATAGGAAGGAATGACTGAGAAACAGTGAAAATAAACCACATGTTGTAATGAAATATACACCTGCATTAATAGGAATGACTTGTATATAAAACATTAAACACTTGCAAGGAGAGCATGTGTTCTGTTAAACCTCCATGATTGACACACGGAAAAGCTCAGGAAAGTATATAAAAGAGATAAATTTGGGCGAGCCATTTCCTGACTTATGTGTACAGATAGTAAGAAAAAACTGCACGGTTCTGTCAAAAATACTGCACAATAATACGAAATGTAACTGGGACACCGACGCTTTAGTAAGAAATTAAATTAGTAGAATATTATCGGAGAAGTCAACCCAGGAAAAAGACATCTAGATGTGCTTTCATATTGAAAGTAATTACAGTATCTAAGAAGTGGAAAGATATAAGAAAACTCCCGGAATATAATATGGCCAAGAACTACACGTTTAATCAGTGGCCCGTCGAAGTGCAAGAGTACCAGACAAGGGTTGGCTGCTCGATTAGGAAGGCTAGAAACCTCAACAGATGAAATAATACAAACAGAACTAAGCGCTAAAACCTCACAAAAGCTTGAAGCAGTGTTGTCGTGTATTCAAATTTTTCATGATGTGTGCACTAGAGTAATTGGAAGAAATTAGGAGAATCTTACCACAATGTGTTACTGTACGGGTCTAGTACTTCTTTGCGGGTTACCTGCAAATAACCAAGACTTGTAATGATGAAGTCCAGCTGTTATTGTTTGCAGACCTCTTCCCTTCCAGGGAGGTGCCTTGACGCCGGTGACGAGCTTGTGATACAAGGAAATGGAGCTACCCTCTCTCTTTCCTTGAATCGAAATTAATTGCCTACCATTCCCCAAGGTGCTGTATAACCTTTACAGGTTTAATAGTCTCCCATGAAATATATAAAAATCTTCCTCTGACCATTCACAATGTCGCTTGGATGGCCCTAAATACATAACATGCATGGAAAAAGGAGAATGGATTTCCTTATAGGGTGAAGAATGCGGCAGTGTAGTGTGTCAGCGTGTCAGCGTGCCTCGTTGTGCTCCGGGTTTTCTCGTGTTTACACGGTCGCTCTTACGTGCTAGAACTTTAATTTGTGCCATCAATCCTATACGATACATCCCTCTAGCGCCTGGAACCAATCTTGGGCGGAAAACATTATATACTGAGTCAAAAAAGGAGAATTAGTGTGCACTACCTAGCAGAGTTTACTGCCAGAGGGGAATCATAGGCCTGTGTTCCGTGTGCAAAATAATAATAATAGAACTTTTCTTTGTCAGAGGAAAGAAAGTCTCCCTGATAACATTGTGTATACATAGTGTATAGTGTATACTACAGTGGCTCCCTAGTATATAGATGATAAAGGCTAAAGTGTCATTTGAAAACAGGTGAATTTGTAAATGAAGTGATAAGCCTATAGAGGCAGGTGCCAGAAGTCGCCAGAAACTTACCACAGAGGTCAGCTGTTTTAATAATCTTCCTGGCTTGCTAGTGTACTCGCATATAATCTAGTGATACCAGTGAATAGCAGAATACAGTGTTGTAGTAGCAACTAACCAGTATTATAATGGTACTTAGTGGAGTGGAGTGACTTTCATTAGTTTCTTTTTCCTTGAAATACCAGACGTATACTATGAATCTCAAATAACCTGTAGTTACCAGCGGTCGCAATATACACAACGAGAAGCAATTATTACTACAGAAAAAGCGTCCTTCCCCTAAAATTTCCACCAGTCAACTATAGTGATAATATAGCATTTATTGTGGTGGAGACGAAAAAAAACTAGAAAAGCTAGATACAGCGATTGATAAGCAAGGTTGAGGCTCGACCGTTCGTCATTGTAGGAGCTGCCAGCAATCACCGGTTCTTCAACACGCAAGTTATACTTTTGTATCAATCAAATCACATATTACTCGGGTAGATAATTTCCAGTAGATCCTTCATGTGTTAGCCCAAATCACCGACCAGTATGTTTTAAATAAGTGACCCACTGATCAGATCAGACTGGTTCTGAACCCTCGACTTGTCCGAACCCTTGACTGGTCCGAACCCATGACTGGTCCGAACCCTTGACAGGTTTCAAACGGATTCGTTGGACAATAAAGCAGACTGTAAACGGATGGGGTTGTAGGCGCCCTTATCAAACACAAACAATAAATATAAATCAGGAACGTACACGGTAAGCTGTCCAATATACAAGTACAGTTAGAAATAGAAATACAAATAGCTAGAGCTTCATTTAAGGAGGTTATTAATAGAGTATTCAAGAGGTTGCTAGTAGAATTACAGTAAATCAACCATTCAAATCATTATGAAGCTCTGTGTAGTCTGCAGTCAATCAAACAAACGGGCTTCCACATGGATAAATTGTCATTTTTGTGGAAATTGGTGTCACGCCCCTTGTGCAGATATCCAAGAACTAGCTACAAGCAGTATTAAAACAGGGAAGTGGTTTTGGGTATGCCCAAATGAGATAAATCTGTGGACTAAAATCACAAGGGTATTAAAAGAGGATAACATCAAAGCTGCTTTCATAGAAAACCTGGAAGCTTTCTACAACAGATGGGAACATAAAAAGTCTGGGCTGAATGGTACTGCCCTTGATACTGGCCATATAGTCAGAAACTGTAAGGCTGGAGGTGATGTCCTGGTAGTCAGTAAATGTGGGGCTGATAGTGCTGTCCTGGGAGACAGTAATGGTGAAGCTGGAGGTGCTGTCCTGGGAGACAGTAATGGTGAAGCTGGAGGTGCTGTCCTTGGAGACAGTAATGGTGAAGCTGGAGGTGCTGTCCTGGTAGTCGGGAATTATATGCAGGAAGGAATACATATAAATGACCTCATAGGGGACAGGAGCCGTAGTGGGGAAACAAGTGTAGTCAAAGATAAGATAAAACCAATATTGCAAACTAGAAATACCACAGGAAATAGCAAACAAGAGGACTCCACTAGCAATAGTGAGGATATATTACCAAAAACAACTGGTGGGAGCTCCATTGTTGGTGCTAGGGAGGATAGAAGTAAGACAGGGAAACATGCACCAACAGGGAATACAGTCACAGAAACCCAAGGCAAACGGAAACCAAGCCTGTGCACATACTATGCACTTGGTATCTGCAGACATGGGAAATCTGGAAAAACAGACGGGACGTGCAACTATGACCACCCTAGAAAATACCGTGCCCATATGACAACAGGAAAATGCAAACTCCCTGTAAGCTTTTTCACCCTGAAATGTGTACCTCTTCAGTACAGGAAAGACTGTGCTATAACTTAAATTGCCAGGCACACCATCTAAAGGGAACAAAAAGTTACAAAACGTCCAGGCCATGGGAAAACCTGGGTAGCCGCAGCCACTCAAGAGGGAGAGGTTTTTTAGTGCCAGGAAGGAAAAAAAACTGGCAGGAAATGGCAGAAATCGTACACTAAATCCAGTCATTCCTGGAGTGGAACCACAATCGATGGCCTCCACTCCAAACCAACAGATACAGATACTAATGCCGGAAAAAAATCCCCCCCCCCCCCAGCACCAACAATACCACCAGTCCGATGACATTCTTCTTTGCAAATATACAGGGTCTAAAGCCAGCAACAAACAACAAAATACCTTTAATCCGTGGACTGCTTGCAGAGGCAAAGGCAATGTTCGCGGCTTTCACTGAGACCCACGTGGATAA